ATTAATAACTATTGTAACTATAGTGAATAATAGGGTGGTTTGCACTAATATTACACATAACTGGTTGAAGACTGTACCACCTCAAACAACCGTGACCACGGGACCTGTAAAGGACCCGAAACGTCGGTTTGTTTGAAAAAACAAATATGGGTGATTTAAATCCGGAAAAATAGTTTCATTTGCTAAATAAATAATATTTAGAATTTTTACAATCAAATGTCTAAAGGTCACCTTCTTTCCTTACATTGAAAACTTAAATGAAAAACATTTTTCATGTTAATGAATTTTTATTGAAAGCTTATTACACTAAATTCAGTCTTAAATTATGTAGGTATAATTAAGGACTAGAGGAAAAGTTCCGAGGGTTGTTCATTTCTTCGCTTGTTGGTTTTCTGGCGGTCCCTGGTCCTTAATTTCTTTCCTGATCGGTCCTGTTTGCTGAACAGAGACTGGTCGTTCACCTTTCACTACTTGTTGAGTTTGGCGCGGGGCGATAATCGACAATACTCCATCCGAAGATAGCCTAGATTCTACAGTCTCCGCTCGGCAACCTTCAGGTAAAGCATATCTTCTCACAAACCGACGACTAATGTAACCATGTTCATCTTTTTTCTCCTCATGTTTGCCTTCAACTACAACGTACCCATCCGCAGTTTTGACGGAGATTTCTTCCGGTGCGAAATGTTGCACGTCTATATTAACTTGGAATTTGTCCTTGTCAGACTTGATATTGGATCCTTGATCTCTAACCGCAGCAGCCAATTGACGCCACGGTCTGTAGTAATCGCGAGACATTAATGGAGAAACTGCAGATACGAGTATGTCGTCCGGAGTCAATGCCAAGCCGAAATCTTGGTCAAACAAACGTCTGGGTATGACGGGAAAGTCGTAATCAAACGCGTACGGTAGCAAAGACATCTTCCTTGTTTAATTCAAAATCTTCCAATAACTTTGAAAATTACAGCAGAGAATGGCTCCTCGAAAGTTTCGAAAAACTCCAAAAGTCGCTTGTATTGCTTGTGTCGCTCGTAACTTCGATTTATTCGAACTGTTGTCAGGTAGCATTCTCGTTCGAATTTATACTCCTACTAACGACATCTAGTAAAACGTAGAAAGTTCTAGTATTTACAGGAATGCACGCACAAATAGACGTACATATAATTATAATGTATTTACTAGCCTGCCATCTAGCGTCGAATAGTCATATCGTCTGACTTGTGCGTCCATCTCTTTCCAACCAAACAGTGTTACCATAATTTCAAACATTTTCCACTGTCTAGGCAATCTCGCTATCTCTTTCTAATTCTAAGGTCTACCTTCCGTCCTTTAGGATAGTATTCCAGAAAGAACGAGATATTTCCCAAAAATCTAACAATCGAATTCAATGGATAATTGGATATGGATTATGGACATCTAGGGGCGGATGCGATGCGTCACAGTTTTACAAAACCATTACCTATACAAATTGTTTGCAAGTTAACAAAATGTTATCAAAACGTTATTTTTGACTCGGAACGTTTAACCCGGAGTTATAGCATTTATTATTACTTGGGCGGTGAAAACTTAGAAAAGATAAACACAAAGGCGCGTTGGAACGACTAACTTTATAAAACTATCAAATTAAATGAAGCGTTTGATGGTGTAGGTGCGTACCTACATACCATAATAATTGTATACCGAATTCAATATAAAATGTTCAATGTTAATCATTGAATTTTGTCAGTAGGTACATTGTTGATAGGTAGGTACTTCTCTCTGGAGAAGCAGTAAGCGGCAACTACACAGAAGGCACTCATTGGGCATCAAAAGAATTGGTAAATGACCAGTAATTGGTTTGTTGAGATCCATATAACGAAAAGTAGTACCTACCCCGTACATTTAATTTTACGATAAACTTGTATACAATTCATGAACGGGTTAGGCGTGTTTTACAAGAGCTAATGGAAAATAAATCTTCGCGAAAACTGTCACCAATCGTGTTTCAATCAAGGAGGTCCTCAATTCGACTATTTTTTGAGTGAAAAAATTGAAACTGCGAAAAGTTATGTAAAAATTCAGGTGTTGAATAAGAAACGTTTTATAAACACGTAAGAGTAAAATTTGAATCAGAACGATTTATAAACGAACCAAGTATTCTGAATTTGTCATGCGTAGAAAATGTAATAAATGCTGATTTTTAACCGACTTCCAAAAATGAGGAGGTAATTGGGAACCTCGATACAATTTTTTTCTATTGTTACGTGATTACTCCGACATTTGTGCACCTATTTCGATGATTTTTTTGTGTTGAAATCAGGATACCTGATTATTGGTTTATCTTTATACTATTGATTAGTTACTTTTTACCGTTACTGAAAAAAATCAAATTGTTTCAAACTTACCTTGTCCCTGGAATCGAACAAAAATTTAGAAAATAAACACTATATCCTCGTACTTATAAGATGTAGAGACATAAGAATAAATTAATAATAATAATTAATGCTTTGAGTCGCGAACTATCACATTATTCATATCAACTGCTTGCAGTTTTTTTTTTTTTTAATATATAATAGACACACGCTTGGCCACAATCTCACCTGATGTTAAGCGACGATGTGACAGACGATGGGACGCGTTTGCCTAAAAAATGCCTATTCATTCTAGCCTTGAATAGCCCCAAATTGTACTTTTCGGGAAATACAGATTATTAGTAGAGCATTCCATTCCTTTGTCGTACGCATCAGAAAGGAGGAGGCAAAGCGCTTAGTGCGAATAGGTGGAATATCAACGACATAAGAATGGTGTGCTCCGGACCTTCTAGTCGACCGAAGGAGGAACGGTGAGGGCGGAACCAAATTGAAAAGTTGAAGTCACGACTGCAGATATGCAGTGCATCTGTTAGAACAGAAATCAATTTCTAAGACTGAACGTATAACCATCGCTCAAGCTTACAATCAAAAAGGGTTTGGACCTTTATCTAATATTGCACAATTGTGGGTATCGCTAGTGACGGAAATGACCTATCATTAAAAATCAAAATTAAATGCAGATCGATATCTATTGGACTTCATAGTTAGTTAATACCAAACTTACCCACTGTAGTAGTATTTTAGTGATAGATCATAAATAATAATAGGTACTTATTAGATTTTATGGGTGATATTAATGGTAAGACCCATCGGTCCTACCATTATAATATCTATGTAGTACTAACGCATAGGACTTTAATATTTATTGGAGAGATTTTATCCTCATCATTAATCCTATCGTACTAATCGATGCAATCAAATAATGAGTGTTAATTTTGTACATTTTCGTTTGGTTCTTTTTTTTAATAAATTGTTTAATAAAAATATAACTTGGCTACAAATTCAAAGCCTGTATAACTGCAGAGCAGTTTATGGGCGGAGACACACACACTCATCTTCAGCAACATACCTATGCCTCCTTATCAATCGTACACGGCCCGATAAGATAGTCCTTTTTAAAAAATGTGTTAACGCATATTATGTACCTATACCGACTTGTAATTAAGAAAAATAAAAGAATGTTACCTTTAAATAAGTTTAGTTGGCCTAAGCATTTAAGATGGAGTACATTGAATTTTCTCTTACATTTATGAAATCACAGAAACGTCAACTACCAACATAATTAAAAACATGAAAAATTAATTTAAATAACTTTGTTGTTAAACGACATGTAGATAAAATGCTACTTCACGCTAGATGGCGTAGTAAGAAATAAATTGTACAAAAAGACGTAGAATTTTCTAGTTGTAGTACTAGAACGTTCTACATTTCACTAGATGTCGCCGCTAAAGTATAAATTTGAGTAAAAGCGTGAACAGTCAACAGTTTGAATAAGGCGAAGTTACAAGCTACACAAGCGACATTTGGGAGTTCTTCGATACTAGCGATCGAGAAGCGTTTCTCTATTGTGATTCTCAACGTTGTGAAATTTTGTTTGTATTGATTTGAAGAAGATGTCTATGCTACCGTACGTGTTTAATTATGACTTGCCCGTCATACCCAGACGTTTGTTTGACCAAGATTTCGGCTTGGCGTTGACTCCGGACGATGTACTCATATCTGCAGTTTCTCCCTTACACTCTCGCGATTACTATAGACCGTGGCGTCAACTGGCTGCTGCAGCAAGAGACCAAGGATCCAGTATCAAGTCTGACAAGGACAAATTCCAAATTAATATAGACGTTCAACATTTCGCACCGGAAGAAATCTCCGTCAAAACTGCGGATGGTTTCATTGTAGTTGAAGGCAAACACGAGGAGAAAAAAGACGAACATGGTTACATTACTCGTCAGTTCGTGAGAAGATATGCTTTACCTGAAGGTTGCCGAGCGGATTCTGTAGAATCTAAGCTATCTTCAGATGGAGTATTGTCAATTATCGCCCCGCGTCAACCTCGAGCAGTAAAAGGTGAACGACCAGTCCCTATTCAGCAAACTGGACCGATCAGAAAGGAAATTAAGGACCAAGGACCGCAAGAAAATAAAGTAGCTAAGAAATAAACAACCCTCGAACTCTTTTGTCTACAAATCCTAAAGTACCTACATAATTAAAGACTGATTAAATTGAAATAACCTTCTAATAAAAATTAATTAATAAAAAAATGTTTTTCATTTTAAATTGTATAAACGATGCAATCTTTCAAATTGTAAAAAAAAACAATAAGTAATATTATTATATGTATACATACCTTAGAGGATGGAATTGGATTCCATAGTCTAAGGCTCAACTCACACTGGGGCAGAGTCGAAGCGTCGCGACACGTCCTGTTTTTCAACTACAACCGCCTGGCGCCTCGATTCCATATTTGCAAAATACAAATTTGTACCTTAAGAATGGGAAAATAGAGATGAATATGCTATAGGCGAAAAACATGACGCGTCGCGACGCTTCGACTCTGCGCCAATGTGTTTTTTTTTTTAGCGTGCCTTATTCTAGCGTGACCATGGTCGAGTTTTTGAAATTTGACTAGCCAGAAAAAAAGTCGCTATTTAGTCTGTTCTCTAGTCGCAAAAAACTAAATTAAGTCGGTCCTCCCGCCCATACTAAATTTTTAAGGGTGTGTTGTACTGTTCACGCTGGAATAAGCTTAATCCAGCGGCACCATTTCTCAATCTCGAGCACCACACAACACCTAGCTTAGGTCACTTAGATCAATTTTACACTATTTGTAGGCCGATTTCATGTGGCATGCCTTTGCGTGCTTTAATCCACCGTGACCATGGTCGAGTTATGGAAATTTGACTAGCCAGAAAAAAGTCGCTATTTAGTCGGTTCTAATCGCAAAAAACTAGATTTAGTGGGTCCGCCGTTCAAAAGTTCCTAAGGGTGTTTTACTGTCCACGCTTGAACAAGCTTATTCCAGCGACAACATTTCTCCATTTCGAGAACCACAACACCAAGCTTAGATCTGATTAAAAGAAATCACTTTTTGGCTGTTGACCGTTAGAGCAGATGTTCTTTTGAGATTTTGATGCATCGATGTGGCAAAACTTATAACTTACGATTCATAAGACAATAGAGCTAACGTTTTCGAGAAATTAATGTTCGATCAAATGGCATTCTATCACAAATAGGGAACCCCCTTACAACTCTATTTTTGAGAATGTTTACTTTTCAGCGCTCTGAAAGTAAACACGACCTCTCATTCAGTTTTTGGCGCGCGCGCACTCTGACTGTTTGGTAATCATTTTAAAAACAAAATTCCTACTACATTTTCATTCACACTGTCTAATGACTGTGCGTGAACGCATTTATTCTAAACAGGGGCCTGTTCAAAAGTGTCTCCTTCTCCCCTAATATGAAAACGTTCAACAAAAAATTACGTCCATTATTCCAGCGTGAGAAATGCCCGAGTTTTTGGAATACAGCTCGGGTAAAAAGTCGTCATTTAATCGGTTCTAGGACTTAAGGCGCTGCGCAAACGTGTGTCTCGTGTTGAATAAACCGAGCGATTATTGTCGCGACAATAAAAGCGAATATTCCATTCTCACACAACCGATATGAAATCGACACAGTCGCCGGTTGTCGCAGTCGGACCCTGTTTTCGCCAGTAGCCACAATCGCAATTTGTATGAAAATAGAATATGTTATATTCGCTACTATATAGTTGTAGGTTACTTGTACAGTTCCTGAGAATAGTTGTATCATACGTATCCAACACAATTGTAACTTTATTATAAAAAAAACCTGCCACAAAAATTAAATATATTTGCCAAGTTTTATTGAAATAGGTTACCGGAAAGTGCGAGAAACAGGATTCATTCCCTCCCTATTTTGAAATGAAAAATGTGGAATATTTTCTTTTAAATGTGAGCAATACTAAGGTACTCTTTCCAACAAAAAGAATCATTAAAATCGATTCACACGAAGTTATCGCGCAACATACATACAAAGACACCGTTTGCGCGATGCCTAAATGACGACTTAACACCAACCAAATTTCGACCATGCTCACGCTCTGACAAAATTTTATTTCAATTTTAGAAAGTGCCAGTTTGTATAGTATTTTGGCAGCGATTTTCGATTCTTACCACCATTGATTTATTTGTAAGCCAATGCTTACCACAGACATATATCTATGTCTGGTCGTCACCTACTCGGAGTTCACTGGGTAGGTTGCTTCGGCGGGCAAGCGAATGCGACCTGTCCGTTAACCTCCTGGTTGTAAATGAGCCACGAGGATAAAGTATGACTTATTAAAACGAACCTCTTATACGATAAACAAACATTTATTTGTACATTATTTAGAGTATATTACATTTGTATACTATGATAATGTGCCTTATAATCTAAATTCAGCACTTGTATACAGTTTTCTGGTTCCTGGACGTGACTTCTATCATTAGCTCTGTCATATCCTCGCTTAGCTTCACATGCATCACAGGTTGTTCTGTCGTACTCACTTCTCGATCTATTGCAAATACAATATAAATGAATATTCTTTTCAGTTTTTGGTGGGGCAGTGGACTATGGCTAATGGCGCATTTACACCAAGTCGTCAGGCCCAAGACGGCAAGCTACCCGGTGGAAATAGTGAGTCGTCTGACGACGGTAGTTTGCAGCGAAACTCGACTGGGTGGGTCTGCCACAAGTCCGCAGACGACCCGGTGTAAATGCACCATAAGACTCGTCGAAGAATTGCCGAGAATGCACGTGAATTGCTACAGAAGACGCACAACCTGTTTTTTTTTACTCGTATCTGTTTGTACGTTACACAATTAACATACAATCCTTTTCATTACGCTACATAAAATTATGTTACAAAAGTTCACTTCCCCATTCCGTTCCGCGGCTATGTAAGCCGAGCCTCAACCCGCTCCTTAGAGAAGAACCACGCCCAGCGTTGGTATGGGTTGATTATGTATTGTAAATTGTAAATAATAGGAAATATAATACCACTGTTCCACGGAACAGATGAGGAATTATTAGCGAATATAAAGTGTGACCACTTATAATGTATTCATTCATTCACATATTAAGGGTCGTTTTCAAAACACGAATGTCAAAAAATGTGTTCAATTCATTCAATTCATTCAATAACTTTTGTAATATTACACGAATGCCAAACATTATTTATTTAAAACGATTGCTTGTTTACTTAGTCTGTGATACACATCAAAAGGCACTTCACTAAATAAAAACAAATCAACATCAAAAGCTCGTGGAATTACATCTAATTGCCGAGTTTTATGAAATCGGTTACTCGGGTTATTGGGTGGAATATTCTCTTCAAATTTAAATGAGATCAATACTGAGATACCCTCTTTCCAACAAAAAAAGAATCATCGAAATCGGTTCATACATGCGAGTCGCATAATATACACACAAAACAAAATAGCCGAATTGACAACCTCCTCCTTTTTTAAAGTCGTTTAAAAACTTGGTAATTTCTCATTCGTTTCTCATGTTTTCTCGGGAAATATAAAATGTGTATGTGAATGAATAAATGAATACCATAACACTAACAAATAGTGCAACCCCTGCATACTTGTGGATATTATTATTATCTGTTATTAATTTCTAAAAAAATTAGAATTCTGTGCTCACCATTAGTCTGTGTATTAAGATTGTTACCCATCACCACCGAACTTGAGCTACTGGCATATGCCTCACGATTAGAAGGGTTTGCATTTGATGACCATGCACCACCAGCATATAGCAAATATTGGTTATCATTGGATATGCTTTCGGTAAGTGGTGGTTCACGTTGAGACATCACTTGCACTTCAGCTGGAAAAAGAAAGTATTATGAATTAGCAATTATGTGGTTAATAAAATAAAAAACGAAGATCTGAAACTAGTATTGATAACACATATATAATATATATACATGTACTACTATAATAGAAGAATACTATATAAGAGACTGGTTTGACTCTTTTTCTTATTGCAAATAATGTATTGTATGAGAGAGACAGAGCTAGTTAACTTTTGCAGGTTGTACAGCAGGGCCAGTTTTGCACTTTGGATTTGGGACCTTCCCCTACTCAGAGAAATGGTGTTGTATTGTATTTAAATGTGCTGATATTCATAAATTTATGTAAGAAATCAGTGCAGTAGGTAATATTTCAAAGTCCAATTATAATTTTATACCTTTTAAATAAATAGGACATGACTTATGCAGAAGTGATTTACCATCACCTGAAATTTGTAATTTTTTACTTATTATTTTGTCTCCATCTGCAATCAACCCTTGAACCGTATACATATTTTGTGCAATACAATTTTAAGGCATGGCATATTTTTATATATCTTTTGTGGGATGGTTAATTTCTGTATTATGACACCCAATCAATTTCAATCTATAAATAAATAACATGTTCTTTACCTTGTGCAGATGCAACAGGAAACTCGGGTTTCATTTCTAAAATCTGTCCGTCTATGATATCGTTAACGTCTGCGAATGCCACCTCCGGAACTGTGGCAACAATGCCCTCAATTCTGGACTTCGATTCATCCACATTCTCACATTTCATTCTTTTAGCCACATTATCCTGGGGTTTATCTTCTTGCGCTACAGGTCTTTTACGTTCAATTTTCTTTTTTTGAGGCTTTGATTTCTCAGAGACTTTTATTTTAAGAACGCGCGAAACCTCTTTGCGTATTTTGTTTTTTACGTCTTCAGAAAGGTCGATGCCGCTATCATAGTTTTTAGCATATTTTGTGATTGGTTCATCGTCACTACTCTCACTGTCAAAATTAAGGAATTCAGGGGTCGTTGGTTTTATATGGTCGGATTTAAAAAATGTACGCCATTTTTTTAGAAGATTGTCGGCAAATTTCTGTAAAAACAACTTAATATAGGTATGCCTTTTTTGTCGTATCAATGGGCGAGCAACAACGTTTCGTATATTTTGAACACTTTGCTAACTCTACAGTGTTGTTTTTCAAAATGATTTACCAGTAATCAAGATTGAGACATTCTATGTCATCCCTGAGTGTTTAACATTATTAACCATATTAACCATTGACTTACAAATAAATGGACGACGGGTCTAATACAAAAACCACGAAAAAAATGTCCCAATTCAACCTATTTAAACGTAGTGACATGTAAAGGCATATGAAAAAGCAAAAACGTTGAATTTAAATTGTAATGTCATCGCAGTACTGTCTAATTTTGCTTGCTTCGCTATCAGTCGAACAAACGAAGACTAAAGCGTGAATGACGCTCTGTATACGATTTTAACGCCCTATAAGTTCGGACACTTTTTCGCGCGGACCCGACGTCCATATAATTGTAAGTCAATGATATTAACAATGTCTCTGAGGTGGAAAGAAATGAAACTTGAAAAATACTAACAAACTTCATGGGTTTAGGAATCCTCAGCATAAAGTGCTGCGGATGTTGTTCCAGTGACTCGCACTTATGGCAAAGATCATAGTCATCACAAGAGGTACACTTGTAGCGGAACCCAATGATCTGTTCCTTGCAGCTGTTGCAAATTACATTGTTATGTGGTTTCGGTTCATGGTCCATAGCTGCATATGCTTCCTCTGTGAATCACAATAAATTAACAAAATAACTTCTGAAGAGTAGTTGTATTGTCAACTGCATTTCATGATATGTCACTTTTGTTCGAATATGAAGAAAAATGAACAATGAATAAGATCCATCAATGTGTAGCTCGACATGCTACGTTCTGTATGATACCAGAGACTTCATTTCTAAGGGGTCCAGTACCTACCCAGAAAGTATAATAATAATAATTAATAAAACTACTTAAGGAGTTCTCGAGTTTGCTACACATTGGAATAAAACTAATTTTTACACAATTAAAATTCCGATTTTTTTTTAATCCAATTGTTTAGGAAAATGGCATATTGGTCAATAGCAATTATTTGCAATAGTTATCATAGAGTTAAGAGTTTTGTATGAAAAGTTAAACTAAGTACTTTCTTTTAAAGATGCCAGGTTTTATTAATGGAAGATAATTAATTATTAATCAACATTACTTATTGTCTTTATGACTGTTTTTTTTTTAAGTATATATCTTCTAAGAAGATAAAAGCCCAATCGCTGTAATTTTTACGTGACTTTTACATGAATGATCTTTTTATGGAAAATTTTAACAATCTTTATTATGTATGTATGTGAACATTTTATTGTACCACAAAACAAATCACATATTGTGTAACAGACAATGTAATAATAATTATATTTATAAATCTTTATTCCTTATTCTTTTCAAACCAAAAATACGATTATGCCGCAAATGCAATACTCATCTTTTTGACGCAAATATGAAAAAATCTTTGGAAGTAGAACCGTGATAAACCAGTTAGAGATAATTTACCTTCACCAGTACCCGACAACCGAGAACCAGGCACATAGAAAGTGGGAATAGCATCTGCGCCCAAATATCTGTTTCTAGTACTTGAAGGCGCAAAATGACGAGAACAAAATCTGTAGGACACTGTTAATTTATTTGGCTCTTTTTCGAGAAGGTCGTCTCTACCGGCGGCTTTCAGCCATTGAGCCTGCCTGCAAAGAGATTAAATATCTATGAACAATGATTGCACAGGCTGTCCTATAAATAATCAATGCATTAGCATTTAAAAATTTTATAGCGAATTTCTAAACTGTGATTGGTGTATATTTTTATTGTTTAAATTGTTAAATTTTTTCTCATAACGTACCGATGTCGTTCTTTCGGGAGTCCATAAAAGTTCAAGTGTTTGTTATTTCGACTATTACGTCCACAACCTTGTACGCAACAATAATTAACCATTCTTTTTATTTTAATATTTATTTCAATTATTACAATAAAAACTAAAAATTATTCAAGATGTTTGTACAGTAAATCCAAATATAAACAAAAACAAACATCAAATAATTTCCAGTAGCACAAAAAACTTATTACGAATATATACATCTCGCTCTTTCATGAACAAAGTTTAGCATTCTTTTATACAATCACTCTGCTTTACTTTGCCTTATGTGCTACTAGAAACCTTGTACATGATGACAACAGGATAGCGTAATTAAATTTTTGTAGGAGAAAGCGAGATAGATAATAAAGCTGAGGGAGCTCACACAAAAAACGACATCTAGTGTCGAGTAGTGAAGTCATTGCACATTTTGTACTTTAGTCAGAGGTTATCAACCATTGATATGTTATTTTGTTATAATAACTTAAGATGTTAGTTATTGTATTATTTAAATGCAGTTTGAATATTTTTTTTATGTCATATAATTTTATTTTTATTCGTTAATTAAGTAATCCTGTACGGAATACTAAAGTATTAAACATTTTTAAATTTATTATTAAATTGATATTCAATTATTTTGTGAAATTACTAGTTTGTATAATTATTAACACAAAGATCGAACACTCAGAAAAAAATCCTTCGATCCGGGCGGATACGAACGGAACCAACTAGCGGACCTCACGAATTTTAATTCGTGAGGTCCGCTGGTTCGTTCCGTGGCTTAGTTGGTATAGCGTCTGGCACGTTATGCTAGAAGATGTCCGTTCGAATCCGGCCGGATCGAAGGAATTTTTTCTGAGTATTCGATCGTCGTATTAATAACTATATTAAACATTATTCTCATTTTCACATAAAGTGTACACACAACATAAAGTGTACATACACTCTAATGTCGGGCCACCGAGATAATGTTACGTCAAGTTTATTTGTCAATAACGCGACAACTAATATAAACATCACAATAACTTATGTAACTTCACGACAGACATGTCTGGACTCTGGGTGTAAGGATTGGCATATCGTTTTATTCTTATTGAACTACATAATATGTGAAATTTATTGTGCCTGCTTCTGAAATCTTCTGATTTGATGGTCTTTCTTTTTTAACTTATAATAATAATATGTTTTTCAAAAACACCTATATCGGACGCGTTTTTCTAGCGACTACAAACATAGAATATCTATACCTAAATAATACAAATTAGGTACAAAGTACACACAAGCTTACCTACTTTACGTTACGGTGTTGTGTGGCCACACCTAAAAATTATTTGTTGAAAATCATTCATTACGTCTATTAAAATGGGGTTAAAATTATAGTTAAAAAATAAGTTTCTAAATCTCCTGACCAGATCTACGAACGTAATAAATAATCGCAATCTTTTTTTATTATATCCTTGGTACAAATACAAATAGCATAAATACATGAAAAATAGAATTAAAAGATGATTATGCAGTGTCTAGTTTGTTAAAAGTTTACGACACCTGACCGTATTCGTACGCACACCCCTACAAACACAGCTCATCGATTGTTCTACAATGTCGTCGCAACAAGGAACTTTCGAGACTTTTTGTGAGTTTCATTATGGACCCCGAACGACTTACCATAACATAAGTATACCAACCGGCTACTCATAAAACTCACTTTTGTGTGAAGAATGAATTACGATGACTGGGTTATTTTTTGTATCATTTTCCGGACAGCTGTTTCATTTCATCAGCTGTCTTTGAATTATGCTTGAAATGTCTGTGTCCGCCCGCCGGTATTAACAGCTGCTACATTGTTATTAAATAACGGTTTTGATATCGCAGATTTTTTATTTGTTTGCTCAAGTACCTAGGTAAGCTAATTCATAGCAGGTAAGGAAGTAATAATAGTAATAATAGCAAAATAAATTTGTTCAGTATCTAGCAGTACAATATTAGCAAAAAAAATCCTTTATATGGATAAAGAGTCAATGAAGCCGATTGGAGATACTAGTAAATAGGTACCTAGACAGGTAGAGAGACATCTACATAAGTAGGTACAGAAAAAGAGGACAAATTTAAATGGTACATAGGTACTGTGTAAAGAAACGGCTCAGTCTTAGAAACGCGAACTCAGAACCGATAGTTTATCTTTTTATTTGGATCGATATTTTATTCATAGCGTAAACAACGTAGAAACGCTATCTACATTACTATCTACTTGTAAAGAAAACAAAAAGTACAAATTAAACAGTCAATTAGTAAAATATAGGACTCATTTCCTCTCCCATTTCTGGCAATGTAACTCGGTTACGCACGGGTAACAAGGGATCATACATAGCGATCAATAAATAGGTTCAAAACAACAATATTTATGAAACGAACTTACAATACCTGAATTGTAATTCCATCCTGATTTGAAGTAGGAGGTACTTATTCCGAGAGTCGCATTTAAGGAGCTAGGAAAGACGAAACTAAACGTCTCACTTTCCTTCGTCTCCTCGGGCGGAGGGTCTCATGAAGATTTCCTGACGTAAAAAAGAACTAGGATATTTTGATCGTTCCTTCTCCAAATAGGCTCTCTTTAAATTTGTCCTTCATTTTACTTAACTTTACTTCTCTTCAAAAGTCCTGTTAGCAATTCCACATGCATATACCATTGTGATATATACCTTCATATTACCGTTAACGTTTTTTATTTTTATTTATAATAAATAATAAGAGTATTATTAATAAGAGTATTATTATAAGAAGAGTCTTATGAAGGTAAAAATTAAATTTGTTCTTAAACAAAACATGGTAAGGTTTGACCTATCGGCTCTCAAGCAGAGAGTCGCGAGTTCTAGTCCGGGCTTGCACCTCTAAGTTTTCGGAATTTATGTGCGAAATTTAATTTGAAATTTCCCATGAGCTTTTTGGTGAAGAAAAACGTCGCGAGGAAACCTGCACATGTCTGCAATGCAATTTAATTGTGTATGATGTTCCCAATCCCATTGGGCCCGCGTGGGAACTAGAACCCAAGTCTTCTCGTTGTCAGCAGTGGGACCTTAAAGGCTAACTATTATTATTAAGTCAGCACCATGATAGAATATGCCAACTAATAAATTATGATTTTATGAAATACAAACTGTAAAATTTTATAGAACTGTAATTGCTTTACAATTAATTGTCTACTATCACTTTTAACTTTCTACCATATTTGTAGCTCTAATTAAACATCATTTCAAACAATTTGTGAAACCTTGATGAACCGTTTGACAATACTGCCGGAATGGTTACCTACATTTTGTTGTTGGTACAGCGCGTCAAGATGCCCGTCAAGCAAGACACAGTTTACCATAAGAATAGTCCAATGCCAGGTGTGCTCTTGATTTAAAAGGCCCAAGGTCGATTTCTTTTAAATTTTTAGCTTGAGCTGAAAAATTATGCATCATATTCAAAATCTGGCGAATAATCAAGTAATGAACCTGACTGGTCTACATATTATACATATACCTACACGTTAAAATTATGTAGATTTCTCTACCCAGTCTACCGCATAATGTCTAGACCAGCCATAAACTTCTAGCATATTAAGTCTATGAGTCTGGCGACAAATTCCAGTATCTAGGACACAGGAGTTTGCCCCTAGCTATAAAAGAGTAGTTATTGTGATGCAAGGATACAAAGTTGTTGCTTGACGGGAGTGTTTGTATTAAAACCCGAGCCTGACAAATGTGATTATATTGTTTTTTTCTTACAGAGAATTAATTGGAAAATTGTTATATTTATGTTGGTTGTGAGTAGATCGGACATTTGTTTTGCGGCAAATGTTTTGTCAAAAAATGTTGAAAAACCCGACAAACGCCAGTATGCAATCGCCAAGCGGGTCTTAAGATTTTTAAAAGGTACGCAATACCACGGTATCTTATACAAGGCTTCGCAAGCTGGAGAAAAAACCTTTATAGCATATAGCGATGCAGACTATGCGAGTGACAAACAGACAAGAAGATCGACTTCTGGTTACGTATTTCTGATGCAGGGGGAGCGGTGTCGTGGTCATCGAAAACGCAAAGATCTGTGAACCACTGAGGCGGAGTTTGTGGCGGCCAGCCTAGCTGCACAGACGGTTATATGGCTCACTTGTCTCTACAAGGAAGCGCGTGGAAAACTGTTACTCCTATACTTTATGTCGACAACCAGAGTGCAATCAAGCTCATAAAGGATGTAGTGTTTCACTACGTGACGAAACATGTAGATAGTTTCTTCGTGAGCTGTATCAAGAAAAGAAGACCAATGTCCTCTACATACCGTTTAGAGAGCACTTAGAGGACACTTTAACCAAAGTCCTCCCTAGGGATTGGTTTCTTAAAACACGATCTTTGCTAGGTGTAGTAGACAGACCCTGATCTGCTGGTGGTATAATGGTAGTATGTAATTGGCTCAGATTACAAAAGTAATTGGTATAGAATAGAGGTGGTATCTTTCACAAGATAAATCTGCGAGTAAGACGTGAGTGGCGCTTTTACAATCACATGACCAGCAATTTCTGCCAATATTTTTTTTTTGAGAGTCCGTTGTATGTAGTTTCTGTTAAAAACTAGTTAACTGCGTTTACCTCTTAGGTTATCTAAGTATTCAAACAAAAAAATACAAACCACGTGTCTGAATTTAGGTCGTTATGTATTGATATGTTTTTGCGCCAACGCCTTGATATGGAGATAAATGTAGTATTGCACGTACATTGTATTGTCTATAACAGACACCTATCGATGTGGGTGGTACGTTGGAGGCAATACATTAGTCTTCTTATTTCACAACATTTCTGTCCATCATTGTCTGGGGACTTTGCCAAACAATGCCAATCGACATTTCACTTAGCAACACAGTCTAAATATAGAGATAAGTTCAACGGCCCAGTCGAGATGTTACATTAAACGTGACATTAAATGGTTGTTTACACCTAGCGTTGGGTAATTTTTCGAAAAATTTCTAAACAAATTTGGAAAAATATAATTCGAAGTTTCATATTATGTTCTACGTTTAAATATATCTTTTAATGTTTTATTTAGTATGAATTTTATAATTAAATTGTAGGTAAGTACAAACATTGCCAAAAATGTCATTTTGTAATACCTGATGTCAAATGTTGAAAAATATAGAGCTAAGCTGAGCTAAGTATTTTTTTGTAAAAAATATAATTTTTTCAAAATGGAAAGTTCTCCATACCCCAACGCTACCTATACCTAGTCATTGACCTACCGTTATAGGTGGTTAGGTAAATACATTGTTATGTACTTCTCTTCTTCTCTTTTTACGGCGGCATTCTCATTACGAAAACAAACAACTTTGTTTTGCGAGTTTTTTTGCGATTGTCAAACTTTAAATTAATTAATTAATTAATTTAATAATTTTAAATTAAACATTATTTTAAATTGTCGTTACATACAAATATGCTCTCTGAGCAAACATGCATCAGCTATCACCTTATCACGGTCGGTTTACACGAGTAGTGTCCGCATAAAATAGATACGTACATATAGGTACATTGCCTTAGAATTATTATTCTAAGTACATTGCATTCCTGGGAGACTAACGTGTTCAAAAATGGTACGTATGTACCTATATACATGTACCACGATATGCACTTTTACTTATCACTTTGTACTTAATTCGTGTAAATAGTCATTCGTCGACTTGTACATCTAGGTATTCTAGGTGAACAAAAAACAATTTTGAAATTTTGCAACAAAACTTTTTTATTGTTACTGGCGTTACTCTTATTGATTGTCGAAATTTCGAGATCCTTGATTGTAGTTGATATTAATGAGTTATTACAAAAATTTAAATAATATACGTCTATAAAACTAAAATAGCTTAAAGCTGCAACATTTTATAAAATATCTGTTCTCTCGGTGCATGACGAATATTTATGTGGTCTGTGATGACAACAATGTGTTCTTGTTTGCCCTTGACGAGACCGGCATTATCCGCCACTCGTCGGTCATCGTCCTGTAGCTACGAAAAATCTCGAATGGGCCCGAATTTCCGGGCAGATCAATACTAGTCACTACGGAACGCACACATGGAAGCTACCGTTGCGTGTGGCGTACGTTATTCGCGATCATTCGAGAAACTTGAGATAGTTCTACCGCCCACCAGGTGTCGCGCGTCAATACTATAAAAGCACGCCGGCCGGCGAAACCGGCATGTATTTTGGAATTACCGACTCAACAAGCGACTTGGTGCGAAAGCACTGCGATCTCAATTCTTACTACCTGCGAATAAACTAAACACTATCACACAACAATGTCTCTGCTACCGTTCTTGATGGGTTACGAATACCCTCATCACCATCATCATCGCCATCGCCTGCTGGACCAGGACTTCGGCTTAGCGTTGACTCCTGATGATCTGCTCACCGCGGCTGTTGCACCGATGATGTCTCGAGACTACTATCGACCGTGGCGTCAGTTGGCAAATGTTGCTCGAGACGTCGGTTCCACCATCAAGTCGGACAAGGACAAATTCCAGGTCAATTTGGACGTTCAACACTTTGCCCCTGAAGAGATCTCTGTGAAAACCGCCGATGGCTTTGTAATCGTTGAGGGCAAACATGAAGAGAAACAAGATGAACACGGTTACATCTCGCGTCAATTCACGCGAAAGTACGCGCTACCAGAGGGTTGCAAACCTGAAACGGTGGAGTCCCGATTGTCATCTGACGGCGTACTTTCCATCATTGCGCCAAAGGTTGCTCCACAACTGAAGAACAGCGAGCGGCCAGTACCGATCTCCCAGACCGGACCTGTTAGGAAGGAGATCAAAGACCAGACTCCCCAGGCGGCTGAAAATGGTTCGAAGTAAACCCACTCGATATGGAAAGTGCTTTAGTCTGATATGTGCCGTGAATTTCTTATTTTGTTCCCGTCGGTTTATGTTTCTGTATGTGTTAATAAAGACTGATAATTCTAAAAAGTGAATTAGTTTTTAAGTTTTTAAACTTTAATAAACATTATAATTTAAACTTTAAAACTGTTTATTATTTACTATTAAAATTGACAATGCTTTTTGTCTTAATCTTAGTACGATAGCCTAGAAAATTGCGGCGTGCCTTATACCAGGCGTGACCATAATATGGTCGCGATCATATGATCAAGTTAGAAATTTGACTAGTCAGAAAAAAGGCGCTATTTAGTCTGTTCTAGATGCTAAATCTATGGTTTCTAGTCATGTTTTAGTCGCAAAAAACTAGATTTAGACGGTTGTAGTGAATTGTCTAACGTACAAACAAACTAAGGTTCGCACGATTAAATCATTTTGATTTAAATCGTGATTTTAATTAAACATTTTAATGAAAATCAGTGATTTAGTCAAATGTGTTTAATTTTGCTTCCTTTTCAATGAAAATATAAAAAAAATCCTGTTTAATTACAATTTTTTTTTTTTTTTTTTTTTTTTTTTTTTTTAAAATTTTTATTTTTTTTAAACCCTGGTTACTTTCACACTAGATATTTCAGCGTGACCATGTCGAGTTTTTTAAATTTGACTGGCCAGAAAAAAATCATTATTTAGTCTGTTCTAGTCGCAGCAAACTAGATTTAGTCGGTCCGCCATTCAAAAGTTATAAGGGTTACTGTCCACACTGGAATAAGCATATTATTTTTACGACTAAATCACGACTTTTGTTAAATGTAACAGATCTAAGCCAGGTGTTGTGGTTCTCGAAATTGAGAAATGGTGCCGCTGGAATAAGCTTATTCCAGCGTGGACAGTAAAACACCCTTATAACTTTTTAAACGGCCGACCGACTAAATCTAGTTTTATGCGACTAGAACCGATTAAATAGCGACTTTTTCTGGCTAGTCAAATTTCAAAAACCTCGATCATGGTCACACCGGAATAAGGCACTCAAAATGGGTGTCGTGGAATTTCGTGAATGCTTGCGCTTGCTCGAGAATGCTCGCGCATTCTGCGGAAAGATTTTGACTCGTATCTAGTTTGTATGTACGTTATGCAATTGACCATAAAGTTCATTATATGCTATGTACATGTACATACTAGCGTGATACATATACATATACATATTTTTATATTTAAAGCTCTTTATTTATCCTTATTACTTTTAGTAGCAGTAGAGCTTCTTGTGAAAGAGTTCGTCCAGGAAAGTACTGCCAGACTGCCACCTTGCCTATTTCTGCCGCCGCAGTAATTTGAACGTTGTTGCGTTCCGGTTTCGGAGGGTAAAGTTGCTGGTGAAATTGCAAAAAAGAAAACAGGCCGCGGAGGCAGTTTGGAACATAATTATGAGTTTTTGTAAAAGGTCCTCCGTCCTATTTTTACTTTTTTTTTTATTACAACAACAGAAAACAGACTACAAAATGATACTTGAATTAGACTTGAGCTATTTTACATTATATTATGTAACATTATAGATCTGACATCCAATTATACATATTGTATCGATGGGCGTACATTGTAATGCTTGCCATCGATCGTGGTGAAAGGATTTGCTATTATTACTTGCCGATTCTGCTATTCTCGTATAGAGAAAAGATCTCGCGCTTTATGTCCCTCTCATACAAGTCGCGTCCTGTCCTGCAAGCTCTTGAGGGTGCGCCAGACGTACAGGAACAGCATCGTGCGGGGAGGCTCCTTTCGTGCACCCCATTTTATGCTTATACATATATCTAAATACCAGATATGTAATATGCACTGCGAGTAGGTTCCCTAAAACATAGGTGTTCGATGAGCATAGAACTCAGGGTAGAGTTGTCAGTTTTATTTACTTGCCTGCGATCCTCCAGACTGGATCATGTTGAAACTTTTGCGTGTGTCAATAAGCATTCTCATATCAATCATCTATTTATCCTGATCTTAAAGGATAAGCAGGTATATCTATGAGTGAAATAACTGAGAAGTCCATAGCAATTCATGAAACATACTTTGTCTTCTTTTAAAAAGGGGCGCCAGCGCGCCCTGTCTTGTGCGGTCTCCTCCCAGTTGTCTGTATTCTGTATGTAAGGCCGAGAGGTCTTTTTCCATTTCGTCCCTCCATCATCGGTATTTGGGCCGACCAACCGGTCGTCGACCACTAGGATGTCCCATATAGGACCTTTTCACGCCCTAGAAACTGGCATTTTGTTTCTACTAGACTTTCCAGTATAGAAACTAAACGATAACGTTTATTTCGATATTGATAACGTCCGCGTCAAGACCAACACTCAGGGACTGCGATTATAATTTTATATATGTAATGTACCAATTGCCTATGACATATACACTAATATATTCCGTATTGCACGAGGTTCGAATCTAAAAAGTGGCAAATGCAGCAGGAAATAAAAAAGAAATAATTAAGTTTCTGACTGAGTAGACGCATCTAATGAACTTTTAATTTTTATCTCCGACTTTTAGTGGATATCTTTGAAGACATAAGATACACTTGAAGAAGTCCAATGTTTCAATCGTACGCACAGCACACTCGCATAGACTAGGTACGTTTTCTTTCTTCTAGTACACAACTGTGTACGTAGAAGAAAGAAAATAATAATAACGCACACACTCAACATGGCCCCGCACTAGGGAAACCCTGTGTCGCGGGTGCCATGGACACAAACACATAGACAACCACAAAATTACACCCAAACTCACGAGAGAAATAAATGTAGGTCGTACAAATATTTCTCCCGACCCGGGAATCGAACCTGAGACCTCTGCGTAGCAGTCCGGCATGGAAACCGTTCGGCCAGAGGCAGTTAAATGTATCGAGTATCGAGTCGTCAATGGTTGGTTAAAGACACAAATTGGAAATGGAGTAATTAAGTGCTTTTACAAAATTAAATTACCTTATAAATTAATTTTAAAAACAAAATAAAATAGTTTTATTAGGGGCAACGTGGCAAACGAGTGCACTGAGCGGTAGTAAATACTCTGAAGGGTCGTATTCTAGAACTCTACTCAATGCTCAAGTCAGGATTTGAGTATGGTTTAAACACTCGAAATCATACTCAAGTCCCTGCCATTAGGGTCGTATTTCCAGTGCAATCCTGACTTGTACATTAAGCTCTACTCAATGCTCAAGTCAGGATTGCACTGGAAACACAAGCACTGAAAATACGACCCTAATGGCAGGGACTTGAGTATGATTTAGAGTGCTTTTAACCACACTCAAGTTCTGATTTGAGAGATTGAGTAGAATTCTGGAATACGGCCCTTATTCCAGAACTGTATTCAATGCTCAAGTCAGGATTTGAGCAGACTTGAGTATGATTTCAAGCACTGGAAATACGACCCTAATGGCAAGGACTTGAGTATGATTTCTAGTGCTTTGAATCATACTCAAGTCCTGACTTGAGCATCGAGTAGAGGGTCTAGAATACGACCCGTGATGTGTTGCACCGAGTGACCAATGTGGCGAAGTTGTAAATGCACTGCTTTAAGTTGTCCTAGTAGTTGTAAAACAATTGTAGAAAGCCTCCTGGGTTTGTACAGAAATGTATAAAAAAGCCGCCCTACCATTGTATGACATGGGACCTTTTTAGGTACTTATGTGCTTTACCAACATACAAAGATTTAAATAGATGAATAAAGGTACCTACTTTTAAAATCCTTTATTTTTTTACTGAAATTAGACGAAAATTGTATCGAAAGACGAAATTACATAGTATGGTACGATTATTTTCTTGTTTGTGTGAAAATAAAAACATTGAAATAACGTTTACCTACGTATTTTCTGAATATGTTCGTTCGTATGTTAAGCACACGGTCGTCTACAAATTACAAAGATTTCCTGTGTCATCAAATCTTTTGTGAGAACTGAGTGGCCACACACATTTAGTTAAATTTTTTTTCACTTCTTTACAAAACCCAGAAGCTACAACGCATTTGTAAACATTGGAGAACTACCTTTTTCAAATACCCAATAATGTCTACACATTGTAGTGGCAGACTTTGTCGGGCAGGACTTACCACCCTTTTGATTAAAAAACATTTATAAACGTCGAAAGCTACAGAAAAGCTACTGAAATGGAGATAATTGTTGTAAATGATATGACAATTACGATAATTTAGTATCTTTAAGGTCATTGATTGAAATTCCTTGTTTTTTTTTAACCAGTTTATTGGAATGAAACAATCAGTCTTTTTTGGTTGGGACGACTTAACTAATAAATGACTGGAAACTTAAGGTTATTTATATTACTGATTTGAGATGCATGTTTCACTATCACAAGTTTCTTGCGATTCTTTAGATTCAGTCTTGACTGGTCCAGTTCTAGTGATGGGCACCACTCGTTCTCCTGGAACTTCCACCTGTTTTCTCGGGGCAATGACCGTTAATACTCCGTCACTCGAGAGCTGCGATACCACCTTCTCAGGTTCAACACCTTCTGGTAACGCATACCGTCTTACGAACTGTCGGGAAATGAAACCATGATCGTCCTGTTTTTCTTCGTGTTTTGCTTCAACAACAATATAGCCATCAGCTGTTTTCACAGTTATTTCTTCAGGAGCAAAATGCTGGACATCCAAATTGATCTGGAACTGATTTTTATCGGTTTTAATGGAGGAACCCACGTCCTTATTTAATGCAGAGAGGTATCTCCAAGGTCTGAAGTAGTCGCGGAATCCGAAGGGCGACAGTGACGAGAAAGGTGACATGAATGGAGTCAAGAAGTCGTCAGGAGTTAACGCCATCCCAAATGCCTGGTCCAGCAGATGTTTGTGCGGATTGCTGTACTTATTTTCTACCCGTTTTTCAGTTTCTGATGGACACTTTCCTTCGGCGAGTGTCGAAGTGCACATACTGACGAAAATCGCCAGGATGAAGAAAAACGACAATTCGTTGATGTTCTTCATTTTCGAACCTTTACTACCTATTGCTTGTAAAAAATCACTTCACAATCGCTTCCAAACACTTGTAATCACCAAACCACTCGTTGAGCTCTTCACTCGTTGCTTGCTTTGAATTTCACTTGACAGCGAAACGGATTCAACTGTTTATATACCTACCCGGGCCATCTAGCGGCAAGTAGTTAAGCTAGATAATTCTGGAATAGATTACGTGTCAGCCTGGTAGCGAGCCACGTTTGCGATAATGTAATCTGACGTAATTATACCTGGTTTGTCAGTACTACCTTATCAGTTTATTGAACAGTAAAGTTGTTTACTTTAAAAAAATGTTGGCTTTTTCTGAAAATAAAGCTTGTGCTTTTTTACAGCGCCATCTCTTATACACTGGAAGTACCGGATTGTTCTCTACTTTTCTAGAATATAACGAAATTGCTTGTATAATTTAGTCTATGGCAAATCAAAAGCATGCTAAACAAGCAATAAATAGTACAACATAACGGTTTTTAATGTGTTAATTTATTTTGAATTCCTCATTAGGTTGTTAAAATGATTTTATTATACTTTTAGTGCCCTCTACTATCTAATAGCTGAACTAATATAGCATTTGTAAGAAAAAGACAAATCAACATGTCGAAAAGAGAACACATTATATCGTCTGTTTTCTCTTTGTGTGAATGTTTCCACTATCAGTGGAAAGATTTTTTACAGCGGCTACCCTAGGGATCTGTTTCTTTCTGTACTATAACTCTGTCCTTGTCTTATTTACGACCATTCTCGAAATTTCCAGATATATCATTTCTAGAACTGTGTGGATTGGTGTTCTCGAATATAGTGGAAAATTCTTTTATGTGATTGGTCAGAGTCAGGGAGTATAAATACGGTCTGACGTCGCAGCAATTCATTCAGTAAAATTTGAAAAAGCGAACAAGTAAGAAGTGAGGAGAAAGAGAATTTGGAGTTATAAGATTCCAATTACACGAAGGTTTATTATACGAGTTTATTGAAAAGTGATAAATTGTGAAAATGCCAGCTGTAGGAATTGATCTAGGAACGACGTACTCTTGTGTGGGAGTATGGCAACATGGGAACGTGGAGATCATCGCCAACGACCAGGGAAACCGTACTACACCATCGTACGTCGCTTTCACAGACACAGAGCGATTGATTGGGGATGCTGCTAAAAACCAGGTCGCGTTGAACCCTAACAACACTGTATTCGACGCGAAAAGGCTCATCGGACGCAAATTCGACGACCCGAAGATTCAAGCCGATATGAAGCACTGGCCGTTTAAAGTCGTAAGTGACTGTGGAAAACCGAAGATACAAGTGGAATTCAAAGGGGAGACAAAACGGTTCGCGCCTGAAGAGATTAGCAGTATGGTGCTGACCAAAATGAAGGAGACTGCAGAAGCGTATCTTGGCTCCACAGTTCGTGATGCTGTCATCACAGTTCCAGCTTACTTTAACGACGCACAACGACAAGCCACTAAAGACGCCGGTGCTATCGCTGGGCTCAACGTCCTGCGAATCATCAATGAACCCACCGCCGCTGCGTTAGCATACGGTCTCGATAAGAATTTGAAAGGCGAGCGAAACGTTCTTATCTTCGATCTAGGCGGTGGTACATTCGACGTGTCTATTCTTACTATCGACGAAGGTTCTCTGTTCGAAGTTAAAGCTACTGCAGGCGACACGCATTTGGGCGGCGAGGATTTCGACAACAGACTGGTGAACCATCTGGCAGAAGAGTTCAAACGCAAATACAAAAAAGATTTGCGCAGCAACTCGCGAGCTCTACGACGACTTCGCACGGCTGCCGAACGCGCCAAGCGCACGCTATCATCCAGCACAGAAGCTACAATTGAAATCGATGCACTCCATGAGGGAATAGACTTCTATACAAAAGTGTCGCGAGCGCGTTTCGAAGAATTGTGTGCCGATCTATTCCGTGGCACACTTCAACCCGTCGAGAAAGCGCTAGCCGACGCTCGTATGGACAAGAGCCAAATCCATGACATCGTATTGGTTGGTGGCTCTACTCGCATTCCAAAAGTGCAGAGTTTGCTACAGAACTTCTTCTGCGGCAAGAAGCTGAACTTATCTATTAACCCCGATGAAGCAGTGGCATACGGTGCAGCAGTGCAAGCGGCAATTTTGTCAGGCTCCAACGACACGCGCATTCAGGACGTGTTGCTGGTGGACGTGGCACCGTTGTCACTCGGCATTGAAACCGCCGGTGGCGTCATGACAAAAATCATCGAGCGCAATAGTAAGATTCCGTGCAAGCAGAGCCAGACGTTCACAACGTACTCTGACAATCAACCAGCCGTCACAATTCAAGTTTACGAAGGGGAGCGTGCTATGACGCGCGATAACAACCTTTTGGGTACATTCGATCTTACGGGTATCCCACCTGCACCACGCGGAGTGCCCAAGATTGATGTTACATTTGACATAGACGCGAATGGTATTCTTAACGTATCAGCCAAGGAGAACAGCACTGGCCGTAGCAAGAACATCGTGATAAAGAACGACCGTGGGCGGCTGTCGCAAGCCGAGATCGATCGCATGTTGGCCGAAGCGGAGCGTTATAAGGATGAAGATGAGAAGCAGCGACAGCGCGTAGCAGCACGTAACCAACTTGAGTCATACGTATTCGGCGTGAAACAAGCGCTGGATGACGCCGGAGACAAGTTGGGCGAAGACGACAAGTCTACAGTACGCCGTGAGTGCGACGAGGCACTTCGCTGGCTAGAGAATAACACACTCGCAGAGAAAGAGGAGTATGAAGATAGACTCAAGGAGCTGCAGCGCGTTTGCTCACCAATTATGACTAAAATGCATGGTGGTGGCGCGCCTGGAGGAGGCAGACAAGGTGGTGGTGGCTGTGGTATGCCTGGAGGATTTAATGGAATGCCAGGTGGAATGCCCGGCGGAATGGGCATGGGCGGTGGTATGCCCGGCGGAATGGGCGGTGGAATGCCCGGCGGAATGGGCATGGGCGGTGGTATGCCCGGCGGAATGGGCATGGG